TTATTATAAATGGGATTTACTGTGTGGTCTCTCAGTGGCATCCTTTGTTTTCAGGGATGTTTCCCTTTTTTCTGCTGTACCGGTCACACAATTATTATCTAACTGCAACAGATATATATTTATATTTGTGTTAATTTTCGAGTTGTACGTGACATTAGACTTAAACGATTGATGTGCATGTGGTCTTCTGACCTGACGGACCCTGTGCAGTTAGAAATGACAGTATTGATCATCTCAGGTGAGAAGCAGAGAGAAGAGTTCAATACATAGTTATTTTCCTATAATGTCAGTTTTTGTACACACTGATTTAGTCCACATTTGACTTGTTTCATCAACTCTTTATTTCCCATAGCAGCAGATAGGGTGAAAACTGGAGCTCTTCCTATGAGACAACAATACTAAACATCTTATTTTGTTGTTGTTAAATGAGATATCAATGGTTTTATCAGTACTGGCAGTAACAGTAATAAGTAGTACTTGCAGTAGCACAGGTTTAAGATCCAACTGGATTTGTCTTTGGCAGCGTTCTTTCTGCACATGACCTCTGTCCTGACGTTAATGCACAGGGACGCTCGATTCACCATTATCCGATAGCAAACATTACTAGTCATCTACAGAGGGTTTTTCTTCTGTGTGAATTTAAAGCAACACAATAACAGCAACTACTGCGTCAGGCAGACAATAGAGATCCATCCTCAAGCAGTTGATTGAACCAAAGGTTTTAGGTAACCCTGCAGAAGGACGGATGCATGATGCACTTTTGTCTGTTCAGATTCACAAATTCAAAGTTTTTACTGGATGATGATGAAGAGTCACAGGACCATGGAAGGATTTGTCCTCTGGTGAAAATGAATATAAGATATCCCCTGACATCACATCTTATGTAAACAATCTTAAAATAATAATTTAAATCTGAAACATAATGTCACACGCTCATAACTCCGTCAAGGCCGAACAATGAGCACCTGACTGTCTGGTTCTGGTTGTAGAAACATAATGGAGAAGCTAAAAGATTTATTTCATGGTATGGAAAGTGCCTGTTAATTCACATCTGCATCAAACTTTAATGGATTCTTCTCAGGCCCAGCCCCCGTTCCTCCAACACATCAACAAACAAAGTCACACAGGAGACGTCGCCCGTATCACATCGCATAATCGTTTTGTATTGTAACTTATCATATTGGCTCGTATTGCATCGTATCATATCACGTTGTATCTTATCATTTCATTTCATATCATACTGTATCGTAACATAAGGAGCTCAGTTTATCTAAGCATCAAAACCTCACATCTTTCTGTCTGATGATTTGACAAACCTGTGTCACGAACAGGGACGTGTGGCCACTGAGCTAATGACCACAACATTCTTAGTTTCAAGCCTCAGCGTCGGGGTCATTCACATTTTTTAAGAAAGACTGATTTAAGCCTGATTCACTGTGTCATGCGACATGTCTGCTCTCAGTGTTCAGCTGCTCCTCCTGATCTTGGAATGTGTCTCTCTGTGTTATGTAATCGAGCGCCTGCCTGCGGAGGCCGGATGTGCATAGTTTCTCTGCTGGCGTGTGTGTGTGATTTGAATTGTGTTGAGTATCTCAGATTTGTAAAAGCATGTATGCAGATATCATGCTGGTCATGTTGTGTATTCTCCAACTTCCCTGAATGGAAAGTTTCAACACCGTTATCTGCAGCAGCACTCGGTGAATAAAGCGTCACATAAAAACGTTGGTTGTTTTTTAGGTTGTCCAGAGCTGAAGGATTAAGTTTGAACATCATAGTTATCTTTATCTACTGATTCCAGAAATTGAGTTCTGTCTGTCTATGAAACGTATATTTCGAGAACCGTTCATGTCACTGGCCTTGTTATGCGTATTGTTACGGGCCAAAGGAAGTGTTGAATTTTGACATGTGATACATTCAATATGAATAAACTTTGAATAAACAGAGGACCAGCGCTCTATTGGTTCTGTGTACTGAGTCGAGCTTCAGCGACCTTTGAATTACCAGGTCAACAGCTCTTTGTGCGGCAGCAGGTCTTTATTTGCTGGGGCTCAATTGCTGCAGGACACTTTTACAGTCTTAGAAAGAAAATCTGCAACCAGCATCACCAGTAAACAGGCCATTCCAAACAGGCAGGTTTAGAACAAGCACTGCTCTAGTTTTGAGAGCTGGCAACATCCTGAAATGCCTTTTTTTGTCTGTATTCTATTGTTGATGCTCTTCAAACTCAAAAGCAAACTTGGAGCTTGGACCATTCCATTCCCACTGATGCTATAAATACCTCCCACCATGTGCCTTAAGGCCCTTTGAGTTACACCACCACAGTGTCATGGCTGCACTCTGAAATTCCTTCTTTTCAATGGCTTGTGCAATGCAAGAATGTTTTTTTGCTGCACCACATTAGCATCCAATAGAGAAAGTTTTCAGCCAAGCACAAAATGCACAACGAAGGAAAAGCTGATACTGTGTGTTTAAGATTCCTTAATTATATGATTTACCAGTTTTTGAAAATGCTGATGATTCGAGAGAGTTGTGTTTAAGATGTGTTGAGAAAACCCTGAAACTTGTCAGGGATTTGTGGAAGTGTTATCAAGGCTGTAGGAGTCCCTCTGGGAACTGATCGAGATCCTTTTGTGTTTCCACAGGACAGAAAGGTACATCTTTAAATGTCATGCACAGCAGGATGATATTTAGTTCACAGTTATATAGGATAAGAAAAGCATTAAATCTAATATTTCAAATGCTTGAATCAGCAAATGCTGGCTCCATAAAAAATCAAGTAGATTTCCCAGCTAAAGTGTCAGAGTCCGACCTGAACCTGAATATTATTTCAGAATCTTTGTTCAGAAATCCACATTCTTTCTGAAAGCGGGCTTAATTTACTTACTGCAAGAACAAGAACAAAAAACCTTTTTCACCTCTGACCGCAACATTGAAAGGGTATAATTGTCTAGAAGGCCGTGAGCATGATTAAGATTATTTTGCTTCCATGCAAAAGATGTGAATATCAGTTCCACTTCTGACTGTGATCCTGAGTCATAGCAGCTCTGCTCCTCTCATGGCTCTGGATTTAAAGGCACCCAGACGACTGTGTGAAAGAGCTGTGAGTGTTTATTGCTGAGGAGGGAGAATGCTGCCCGGCCTCGCTCTGTATATTTAGTGCTCATTTGTCTGTCGGAGAGATCACTGCCGGGACACCATCGATACGCTGTGGACATTCCCTCTGCACTGTTGTGTGAAAAATGATGTGGTGATTACATGACGGCCGGTGGCTCAGCTGCTGCAGAGGCAACAACTCAAAAGAAAGTTCAGGTTTTTTTAAATCAAAGTTCACAGTCAAACTGTAAAATTCTTAAGGCCTTGAATTTAACTCGTCCCTGGCTTCTCATTATCTGGCTGATTCAGAATCATTCAGCCCAATTAAGAAATGAATACATACAGGTGATTGATCAATTAAGTGATGTGATTAAAACACACAATATTCTCTGATTCCAGTCTCTAAAAAAAGAGGATTTATTTGTTTTACATCATCATTTGCGGTCACGCATGCCTGTGACTTGAAGGTTGGCTGGTTTAAAACTATCCTCTGCTTCCTGTGTAAGTAGCATTAGGTTGCCCTTGAGCAAGGCAGGTCATTTCTTAATTGCTGTCATCATTCTCTTGCAAAGGTAAAGACGAGTTGAGAATTCCTCTTACAAACACACAGACAGATCAGGTTGGGAGTTGCCCCACGGCCTCCTCTGCTAAAAGCACCGTGGGATTGTGAGGCGATCTGCATGAACCCATCTGCAGTCCACTCCTCGGCTGGATTTGTGTGCAGCAGTGGAAGGAGAGAGGGAGGGAGACGAGTAGAGAGGCAGAAGTGAAGCAGAGACGTATTGCGCTGCAGTGCACACGGTGGATGGAAGCGAGGCAGAGAGAGTAAGGGAACAGGGATTTAGTGAAGCCGAGGGGGGGATGGGAGAAGAGAGGGTAATGTAAGATGGATGGAAAGACGTCAGCAAAGAAAGAGAAAGAGGAGCAAGAAAGACGGCGTCAGCACAGCATGAGAAGTAAAAGGAATAGAGAAGTGAGTGTGGCTAAATAGAACTGCAGCCCGAGAAATTAGACAAAGTTACAATGAGCACATAAAGGCTAATGTATGCTACGTTGCCTCCCCATGACTTCCAGTGGTACTGCTCAGTTTTGTTGGTTTCATCCGAATTCGTAAGCTTTCCGAAAATGTATACAAATACCTACGGTATTAACACAGAGTACTGACAGAGTGTGTGCGTATCTAATGGTGAACATGTATAAGTTACACAGCCACATGCTGGGAACTGGGAGGGGGGGACCACCAGCCTCTCGAAAATGGCAGCAGAGGAAGGTGGACACATAGGTCACAACGAAATGTTGGGATCGTCACTTGAAGACACAACAAGCATCCGTTTTCAGAGACAGAGATAGTTTGATGTGTTGTTTTAAGTCTTGTTGCACTTTGTGTGATTGTGTTAACGTAAGCCTCGACATTAAGTTAAACCTAATTAATCCCTGTGACGAAATTAATCCACGACTGATGACCCATCTTTACAGTTTATTCTGGTTCAGGTGAAAACAAAAACAAACTCGATCACCGTAGTACAACACATGCAAAATTTAAAGTACTCCAGTTTCTGTTCCCTGAAATTCACTTTGGATTACACAAGAAATAATCCTATCTCTTCCGTCAACAACATTATCAATGGTCGGTTCCCTGTTGCTGCTGGATGGATGTTTTCATGTATGCAGATGCCACTGCATCATTTCTCCAAACTTTAGATAATCTCCTGTAAAGTCCCTCATTTCCTCAGGCAGTCACACACCTCCTGCTGCGGACGAAGGTCAGCTCTCACTTAATACCTGTCAGCGGTGTGAAGACACAAGTCGGCTGTTACGCAAGAGGCTATAAGCTCCATCAAGTTCAGGCAGGGAGTCGGCGGAGGAGAGGAAACCGTCCCTAAGCCTTTTGGGAAGCTGGGATCAAGGTCATGTGTTCATCTTTAGTTCACACTCGTTCAAGGGACATGTCTGCAATCAACTTAGAGGTGAAGCTAATTAAGATTGACCAAAGAACGTTGAACTAACTGAACAGAACGAAATGAAAATGAAAGTTTCTGTATAATCTTTACGAAATACTTTATTTTGCAGGACAATGCTTCTCATTTAGTTTCTTGCCCTATAGACATTAGCACATTTTCCACCAAAGCCAACCTACAGTGTATGAAACCCAGTGTAGAGGTCGCTCGGGGCTGGCAATCAATACTGTAATTTCACTAATGACTCAACACCGTTGTGGTTATTTCCTTCCATCTATCCATCCATTAGCTACACCGCTTATACTTCTGAGGAGAACGCCGGGATTGTGGTAATTTATTGATGCCAACACGCTTGATATTGCACATCTGAAGAAGCAGTTCTATTTGGATGTGTGAGCTTCAGGGACGATTGTTGTGTTGGACCAGACCCTTGAACTGTGGAAGAGGGAAAGGGAAATCAATAAAGCTTCATATTTCTCTGCATCAAGTTCACAGCAGCAGATTCAGCGTTAAACTTCAAAATGATGAAAATAAATCAACACAACAGAAGACACCACACTAGACTGGCTCCTATCTTAAATGATCGTAGTTCAAGTTGTGTTTTTTTTGGTCGATTATTCGGAATTATTTGAGAACTTGAATGACTCTTTAAATTGAAAAGACACAATGTCTTTTCTGAGACACAATCCAATACTTGGCTGGTGTTGGTGGGAAATGTCCCCCCTGCACCAGGACACAAGGTCATTTCCTGGTTGTTTGCTGTTTTCTCCCTTTCTTATCTGTCTCCATGGTTTTGGACATATTGTGTCGATGACAACTGGTAAACGAGCTGTAAGACGTGATGGGAGACAACTGAAAATTAAGACACTTTCACGATGGTCCAACATTCAGCATTCCTTCTTTTTGTCTCGTTGGCTTTAGTTGACACTGAAGCAGGAGGCGATGAATGTGTGCAACAAACAAAAGCTCTTTCATGCGGGTAGCAACACACACACACACACACACACACACACACACACACACACTCTGACCCAGAGACTCAACAACCAGACAGCTTTACTTTGCTCTTCCTGCAGGAAACGAGGGAAAACAATCAGAGACTGGCAGAACCGAGGATACAAGAAACAAAGAGTTGATGCTCATTTAACAATTAGAATCAGTGAGAGATTGAATCTTCAAATTAATCTTTTGAATTATTAGTTTTTTATTTATGTTCTGATAAATAAATCAACAATCCCCGAATAAATTAAGGTAACGAGGCAAAATAAATTTCACTTACTGCCCCTTCTCTGTTCTGGAATTTATTGACTAGCCTCGATCTACAATAAAAAGTTGTTCTATAAACAATCGCAATATTGCATTCTATTAAAGTGAGTCGCACTGGGAGTGCGGACTTCATCTATCATCGTAATTGCCATCTCCTGTGGTTGTGTCGTCGGTCTCTTCCTGCGAAGGGGATGCAACCCCTCCTCCCTGTCCCGGGCTCAGACTTATTCCTGGAAGCACTGGTGATATAAGAGGGAGGACGTCCTTTGTGTCAGTGTTGCTTTCCTTTTCATAAATAGGTCAGTTTCACACCCTGCCACCACATATAGCACCTTTATGTGGGTTTTTTCCTAAGAACCCATGGAGACTGTTTGTGGAGAACAGTCACAGCTAACTGACTCAGAAATATTCAATGAATCCCCGGTTGTTAGGGTTTTAACACGGACAGGAAACCCTCTTATTGTTTTTCAGTTTTGTTTGAAGAGAGAAAACCAGCAAACCCCAATGTGAGGCTGAACAAAACCATGAAGGAAAGAAGGCTCTAGATAAGATGAGATGAGATAAGACTGTTCATAGCTAAAGGAGACACATTCTGCTCATATTCAGGTTGATCATCTTATTCTGTGTTTTTACTGTAAAAAGTTTTCATGTTCGAATGTTAAGAAAACATCACTTTCTTCAGACTTTCCATCGCTGCAGCTCCTCTTTTCAGCCTCTGTCTCAAACCCCTTGGTTTTAGCTCCTGTCTCTTTAATAACATGTCATCATGAAGAGAGGAGCTCCCTCTACAGGAGACTTTTACTTTTAAAGAACTTTTACATTCACTATATAAAAAAACACAAGAGAGGAAATAAACACTGAAAAAGCATCATGGTGCCTTTAATTCAGAACAACAGGTGCTTAAAAAACACATTGAGACACCAGAGGACGTTCAAACAGTTAAACCTTCACAAAACTTAACAGAGAAAATGATAAACAAACATGAACAGCCGGACAGAGACAGAAACCCAAGTGAAAAGGTAACATTGACCAATGCATCGTCTTCAGCCATTTCTGTCCCTCTTACAGCGGTCGTCCTGGTTGCCATGGTTACCCCCTTTTTGTCTTGGAAGCATTTAGTCCTCGTCGATTTCTTCTGTGTTTCCTCTTTCTCAGGATGTGTCTGACACACCACGACTCCCCCCTCCTCCCCCTGATTGGCCGGCCCTGTAGCTATGGTCTCTAATGGTGGGCGGGAACTCGGCCCTCTTTGTTCTCGTTAACCCGTTATCTGATCTGATGTGATGTAATCTTGTGATAATGCGGAGCTCACTGCTGTGATTGTTTCAAAGGGACCGGGAGGATGTGTGTGTTTTCTTGAAAACTGATTTCTGTTTGTTGGGTTGAAATTCTGTGATGTGCCACAACGGCTGAAGAGCTGCACGAGATCTTTTTATGACTTTTCACTTGTTTGGTTCTTAAAGGTTCAGTCAGTGTGGAAGAATTTGTTGCTGTGGCCTTGTAGGAGAATATCTCGATAAATATCTTGTGTTATGATAAGTCGCTGTATACTTTGTCCGTGTTTTGTATAAAAACTCCATTCCTGAGTCCTGCGGCGGTATAATGAGTCTATTCAACACGTTTCTCTTTGTGTGTGTGTGAATACTTGAATAGCCTGTGCACATTTGTCCAGTGTGTCACTCAGCAGTTACACAACACTACACAGCAGCTGTGATGGGTCCATTCTAAATACCACACTGAAAACGTTGTGACGGGCGTGGTTTCCTGTCGACCATGACGCATTTCTGAGATCATCTTTTTGCTCAAATTGGGCAAAACTCTCAGCATTGAAATGGTAACAGACTGTATTTTATATCGTACTTTTCTAGACATATCCAGCACTTTACAGAACAACACATTCATGCACATGACACCCAAGGACACTTCAGAATAGAGACTCCCCTAACCCTCCATTTTTGTAACAATGCACATTGCACCTGCCTTATTAAAGATGCTTCTCTGATTAGTTGGTTGCATGATATGCCTGAAATACACACATGATTAATTAAGAGACTAACTACAGCTCTTTTGAACTAAACACCTGATGCAACACTGCATCTGTACTTTTCCTAAATGAGTGTTCAAGTGAACGTGCAGAGCTGAAGCGGAAAGTATAAACCACTTTGGCCTTCCTGCCACGGACGTAAAACCTTTATGGATCTCTTGATTGTCCACTGAAAACAGTGATATTTCTTATGGGGCTGCCGTTGGCCTGTATCACCGTATTATAGACTGCTCCATGTGTTTGTGAGAGAGACCAAGAACACTAAATGAAACCATGGTGCAAAACATTATGTTTTGGTTCATAATGAAACTGTGGTGAGACGAAGTAGGTCAATAATGGGACACAGTGTTTTGACTGTCTTGGGTCGTCCTCTTATCAGAACCATGTGAGATTAGGACCTGTGTCGCTGTTTAGTCTGCAGCAGCTTTGCTTACAAAACAACAGAGCACATCCTCTGTGGAAAACACACACACACACACACACACACACACACACACACTGACCTCGAAATCCTTGACTTCTCATGCAGCCACTTCTCATACGGGCGAGTTAAATTCACGTCCTCTCGTCTCCACTAGAAAACATCGGAGGGCTGATACATCTCCTGTGTGAACTTTATACACTTCAACAATCAATACGAACTTTATTAAATATTGAAATTATTGAATTTCCCCACCATATGATCATATTTTTTTCATCCTATATCATATGTTTCTGGAGCTCATGTCTATAATCTCTGATTTCTTCATGACGTCAGAATAATTCAGAAAATCACGCTGTTATTTGTGGAGAGTGTGTTTTCTGTAGCCATTTCTTTTTTTTTGTTGACCTTGACCTTAGACTGATCTGATCCAAACACTCACACTCAGACAGTTGGTGCTGTCCTGAACTCCCCCCCCCCCCCCCCTGCAGCTAATCTCTTAAACCCATTTCAGTTTCCCTCATCTGGTGTTAACATTGACTCCCTCTCCATCACAACCTTCAGCTAATCTGATTCATGCCACTTTCCATTGACGACAACCACCACACGTCAAAAACATTCAAACTTATCCCGGTGCCATTTTTCTGTATTTATATAGAATAACGAATACTTGAACAAACATTAGTGGGATAGAAAGTACTAAAAAATGACAGAGATCCTCCTGTAACAACATTTATTTAACTTGCGTTAAGAGTCTTTTAGTTTGGTCCATGTCCCACTGGCTAACATGGAGTTTCAGCAGGATTGTCGCCCCTGTTTATATACAGTCGATGAGAGGTGGAGCATACGTTGCAGTTTAAATGACTGAAGTGCATCGTGCTCTCCAGATCTTATTATATATTATTATTTTGTCTTATTGGTTTGTTGAGATGTTGAGGTTCCTTCATCGTTATATATTTATTTTCTTCATGTTGTGACAAGTGATGATTTCCGTGATTGATGGTCTTCGCTCTTGATCTATTGACTCCGTCCCAGATCAGAATGTGTCGGTGTTGGTAACTGTCTCCCTCCACGCCTGCAGCAGGGCATCATGGGTAGCCATCACTTCATTGTTCGCAGCTATGAGATAGAAAGGTTGAGCTCCACTTGGATGGAAGTGAAGCTGAAGCCTCCCTGACAGCAAATACCTTTTGAGTCTGTTTAAAAAGGTCATTTGTGGAGACTGGCGTCTCAGTTATTATCCTGGCAGAGTAAACCTCTCACCACGCTGACGTTTAGCTTCAGACCCCCCCCCCCCTCTCTTCTCTTAATGCAGCAATAAAAACTCTAATGTCACCGTTTGGCTTCCTGCTCTCTTTTTTAATCCCTAAATCAGATTCTCTCCGACTTTTCCTTCTCTTCAGGCACAACCACACTCGTTCCAGAGCTATTTAAGAATCAAGATGTCATTCCAGGTTTCACTTTTAATCGACCTATTGTATCTGAGATTATGAGTTAAAGCAGGTGAAATGTAGGGATTACTCTTCAATCTGAGTTAAGCGCTTGTCAAGTCCAGGTCAGCAGCCGGTGAGCGGAAGATTTAGAGAAACCTGTTTCTAATCCTGTTGATGACCCTCTGGATAATTCTTTATTAGAGAAATTAAAAGATGTTACAATGGATGGATGAACCTTTACAATCTTTGGTCTGACTTAAAACTTTATTGGCACAACAAAGTGGATTTTAACGGAGAGAGATGTGAACTGTAGGATTGTTTTCTTTAACTTTAGGTGTGACAGATGATGGTGAAGGAAACGGCTGCTGTGTCAGTGTGTGTGTCTGTGTAATGTTGGGTGTTATGTGCCAATGGTGATGAGATCATGGCCGTGTTTGAGAGTCAGCTGCTGTTTCTGTGTGTGTGTCTGTGTGTGTGTGTGTGTGTGTGTGTGTGTGTGTGTGTGTGTGTGTGTGTGTGTGTGCTGAGTCACCCTGCTCAGTGTAAAGACTCAATAATTATAGCTCTGTTACTGGAGCTGTTTTGATCCATAAATAATAAAAACACATAAAACCTCATAATAAACACTGGACCTGTTCAAACCCGACTGTCAAAGGGCCGCTCAGGAATAAGCTCCACCATCATACGTGGATATGACTGAATGAAAAGTCGTCTGTAGCTGAGTAAATGACTGGTGGTCTCCTCTGGGTGAGCTCGGCTTGAGCTCGGACAGGTTATTTATTTTTTGGAGGTATTTTTATTCTTTTATTTGAAAGCACAGTAATGGAGGGACATAAAACTAGGAGAAGAGAGTGGAGGAATGAAACAATCCTGTTCAGCCGGCCAGGACTCGACCAGGGCACCAGCTGCTCGAGGCGTATGAACTTGTGCAGGTTACACCCCAACCATTCAGCCCTTTCTTTTTTTAGTAGAAAGCTCAGGTCCTGTGACACAGTTGAGTTATAGTTTATGATCCATTGGTTTTGTTGCTTGGCCCACACTGGGAACTGAAAGTCAGGATATTCAAGCTTCTCCTGCAGTGATTTGATGTATTCTTATTTGGCTCGATTCTAATTTAATGCTAAAGTGCAGGGGCTAGCACTGTTATCTCACAGCAAGAAGGTTCCTGGTTCAAATCTTCAGTCTCTGTCCCTGTGTTTGTGTGAGTTTTCTCCAGGTGCAAAGACTTTTAATTGTCTGTAGGTGTAAATGTGAGAGTTAATTGTTGTTTGTCTCTTATGTTGCCCCGGTGTTTTGTTGGCAACCTATCCAGGGTGTGCCCCTCGTCTCGCCCAATGCTGATGGAGTACGGCTTTAAATAATTAATCTTGTATGTTTTCTTCTCTTATTTCAGACTCTTCGCTTCTCAAGTATTATTATAATTATCAAACACATGTAAAGAAGGAATTATGGGAAAACCACAATGTTGTAGCCTCAAGCCTGCACATGGAGTGTCTGTGCCTTGATGGTTTTATCTATCTGGACTTATAGCCTATAATATTTCCACTTTGTCTCTTCGTATTTTCCAGATGTACCACTCTGACCATGGTGTCGACTTCCCCGACCTCACCTTCCACATCCCTGGCAGAACTGCAGAGCTGGGCCCAGCAAACTAAGCGTGAACGCAACCATCAACACATCACGCTTCTACCTTCCCCTTCGCCCGGACAGGACCTCCTTCAGCTGCTGTAGCTCCTCTCCCCCCTTCCTTCCTCTTCAGTGATGGACAGCCCTCCTAAACTTTCTGGCGAGACCCTGATTGTGCATCACATTCCCCTGGTGCACTGTCAGGTGTCAGGGGGGCGACAGGGTGGCTGCGGGAGCTCACTTAAGAGGAGCAACCCATTCAGCCTACCGGAGAACCTGGGTCTGAGTCGCACCACTTCCCTTCCCGAGAGAGACGTCCTCCAGAGGGAGGCTCTGCTCTACAGCAGCCTGATCCAGACCTCCAGTGGCTCCTCGTCCTCCCACAACAGAGGAAGAGAGAGGAAGGGTGGCGGTAGAGGAGGCAGCATGGCGAGTGATGATTCATCATTTACTTCGAGCAATTCAGAAGACCAGCTGATCACAGCTCACACTTTACCCAGGGCGAAACCAAGAAACAGGAATCCATTGCGTCATAATCCGTTCCTGCTGAATACCGAAAATGACAATGATGAAGAGGAGGATGATGGTGATAACCTCAGCGGTTACCTTGAGGACTCGTCCTTCCACCTCCACAGTGACACTAACTCTGCCCTCGATGATGGGATGGCATCTTTCCGCCTGCACGACCTCGGCTTCGCTTCTGAGCCCTTTCTTCTGCACAGCTCAGTGAGAGGAAGCAGCCGGGAGTCCCTGAGGGGCGTCGCTTCAGATCTGTCCAACCACCTGGAAGACCTGAACATCTTAGGTCTGGACACCCAGCGTCGCCATGGGAGCAGTGGTTCCAACATGTCCATGGACTGTGGAGAGCAGGACTGGGGTGATGATGATGAAGAAGACGAAGATCATCCTATGCGCTGCGGCCGAAGCAGTAAGACAGGCTCGTACTCTTCGAGCTCCTCGATCCAACACTGCTCCTGCTGTGCATTATCTCAGAACTACCCTCAACACTTTCCTGAAACCTTCTCAGAGCCGTTTACGGTGTGTCAGCAAGGCTACGGCAGCGACTCCTCCTGCAACAGCTCGGATGGCGTGCTCGTCAACTTCAGCGCTATTTACAATAAGATGAACAACGGCATACCAGAGAAGCCACCGGCCTCTGGACACACCAACCTCAACAGCTCCACTGACCACTCCTGCACCTCGTCTGTTTCTGATCCACCAGGAAACCAGCGAGACTCAAGTGGAGGGGCTTTCTATTTAGACCTTCACACCTCCCCAACCGAACTTCCCCGATCACAGCAGCAACCCTCTTGTCTGGGCAACACCTTCCCTCTCATCCGTGAGCCACATCTGTCCACCTCCTCCACGTGCTCTTGCTCTGTTGAGCACCAGGGGGCTCTTGACCTTGACGCCAACTGCAACTCCTACCACCCTCCACATTCTGGCTCGTCCGGGGACCTTGCATCCTGTCTGCAGAGCCAGGCCCGTCTGGTAGTTGCCACCCAAAACTACTACAAGCTGGTCACCTGTGACCTATCGTCGCAGTCCTCGCCGAGTCCTGCGGGCTCGTCGGTCAACAGCTGCTCCGATGAGCACAGCAAAGGAAGCCCCACCCCAACTCAGCCCAGCGAGTACTTCCTGTTCAGACAGCAAGCTGATCAGGAAGGCGTGGAGGAGGAGGAGGAAGATGGAGAGTCATCTAAGGTGACGGTTTGTGATCAGACAGAATACTGAACACTCCCACATGCACAGGTCCACAAATAAGAAGCTAATATACGACCAATTCATATGATTCATCAAACATTAACTGATTTTGTTATGAGATGATGCTTGTATCGGTATCAGAACATCTCTAATTACAATATATGAATCTGTCAGAACATTCTCTCATACTTTCCTCTCTACTTCAGTCTTTCCTGTGTCTTGATCACAGCTTGTCACAGGTAGAATGTAAAATGATTACTCTATTTAGTCAGTACATGTAGTTAATGTATTTTAATTCTTACTTATTTAAGAGAAAAGAGAAGCAGCATGAGCAGGTAAGAAAAGGAAATGGAAGAAATCAAAATACCCAGCCGAGACAGGGGGAAGTGATTTTCTCAAAATACAACACGAGGAAGGAAATAAAACAAAAATAACAAATGGAATGAATTGAAAACCATGACAGTGACTATCGCTCTGACTGTGGTGTTAGTCTGCCACTGTCTCGTTTTAACTCACAGCCACAGTCTGGGGTCATCTGCTGTCATCATGTCTGAGGATTATCTCTGCACTTATGTTGTGCTGCAGGGTTTTAACATCAGTCTGTGACGCCGGGTCAAAGAAGATGTTCCTTTAAGTCAGTTCAGTCCTTTAGTTTGATCTTTTAAAGATTTATAAAGACTTTGACCTGTTTCATCTGTTGCAGAACGTCTGATGCCTGTTTTATTCTTTCTGTTCTTTTGTTCCTTGTTTTTCGTTATTCAGGAAGATGATAATGCCGACGATGATGATGAGGAGGAGACGAAGACTCACCAGGCGGCTGTTGGGGCTGAAGCTGCTCCCGCTGTGATTGAGGGCCAGGTGTACGTCAACACCTCCCCTCCTGTGGTTGGCCGGGGCCTTTTCGGAGGCGGACCCTCTTCAGGAAATCGTCCCCGCTCGCGCAGCTACGACCGCAACCTGGACAAGTCTCCGTCTCCTCGGCTCGGATCTCTGGAGCGTATGTTGAGCTGCCCCGTCCGGCTCAGTGAGAGCGCAGCCCCGACCCCGCCTCCACCGCCGCGGGTCACCTCCTTCGCGGAGATCGCCAGAAGTAAAAGAAGAAGCGGCGTTACGGGGGGGTCGCCGTCCATGAAGCCAGCCGCGGACCCTTTCTCCTCTACTTACTCCGCCCACTCGCACTCCTCGGTGGATTTCTCTCCAATCCTGGAGCAGCGGGCGGAGGCTGACAGTCAGAGCCTGTCTCCTGCGCCCTTCACCCGATGTTACAGCCACGGCAGCATAGAGCGACACCTGGAGGGCGCGAGGGAGACGCGGGCCAAGACTGAAGGTATGTCACCTACCACCATACAACCATGGAGCTCATTTGTTTTGACGAAGGAGCGGATCCAACATCGTGCGTTTTTAACATTTTCACAGATTTTTCAAGAGATAACTTGAAAGAAAAACTTTTCGGGGACTGATATTTATGAGTGTGTGAGATTTGGTTTAGCTCAATCTAAGGGAACGTTTGGGGCAGAGGTAAATATAATAATATGAATAACTTTGATTTATATAGCGTGTCCTGTGGTGGACGTCAGTTCACAACCTAAGTATTCTCAATGTTTCTTCTGATGTTTGTTCATCGTGTGTTTGCAGTTTCTTTGTTGTTCAATGTGGTTTTGTTTACGTCCGTGTGTTTACACTGTCGCTGTGTGTGAACCGGTCGATTTCCACTGTTCTGTGTGTGTGTGTGTGTATGTGTGTGAGAGTGTGTGTATCTCAGAGTGTTTGTCCTCAGCTTCAGACGCACTGAAGGGTTGAAGTGGGACGAACATGTTCTGAATAACAATCATATATAGAGAGAGGAGATGAAGGTGCAGAGAACGCCTCCCTGCTGAGGTCTACATCAGCATACTGAGCTGTGTGTGTGTGTGTGTGTGTGTGTGTGTGTGTGTGTGTGTGTGCGTGCGCCTTTAGGCCCAAAAACAATGGAAGGTCAGAGAAAGTTACACAAACCTCTTCCTGCCGACTGAATAAGTGACGTTGCAGCTGTTTGCATCATCGAAAGCTATTCGTGCTAGCTAATGGTGTTTATGGTTTATCGACAGACTCTATGTTCGGATCCAGTGAGTCGATGAAATATTTCAGTATAAGAAGCTTTCTGTAATAATAAATAAAATTTACGTTAAACTACTTTGTAAATATTCACTGATGGTAACAGCGCTCATAACAAAGCTTCTGAAGCTCGTGGGTTCATCAAGGTTCCAGACGCAGATGGAACCGTCATTTAAAAAATGAAACATTCCGCCTCCTTGTATAAAATTCTGGGTTTTAATGTTTTTGGTAAATTTCAGTACAGAACAAAATATATAAAAGAATTGTAGTTGTTTTTAGATAATGTTGAATTGTTATATTTTATATCTTTAAGGGAAATTATAACATCGATAGTATCAGGATGTCATAATTAGAGTATTTGATAATTGGCACATTAACCTGCAGCAGTTTTCATGGAGAGAATACATCTCATGTGTTTATGGCTTGAAGCTCTTCAGTCGTGGTTTTCCATTCGATGATGTGGAAGTGGGGGGGTCGTCCCTAAAAACAAGGCGTGTCTCACCCGTGCCTGAAATAAATGCTCATCACTTTGTCTCCACACTGAGACGGTTAAATGTTCTAATGAGAGGCTGAGCTGCATCTCACAGCAAATATATTATTCATCAGACTTCAGTCAGCTGCGTCGCTTCACTGCAGCGCGCAGGCCTCTTCAGAAGCCTCGGGGAAGCGGCTCCCTCACTAATGATGCCGACACGATGCTGTGCAAAGGAAAGGTCCGCAACTGCCTGATGGAGGAGAAGAGATGAAGAGAGGGAGGGAGGGAGAAAGAGAGAGGGAGGATGCAGGATGCAGGGAAGAGATGGAGGAGGGTGAGGAGAGAGAAAAAGAGGGATGACGGAGCAGATAGAGGAGAGAGGGAGCGTTTCTTTTCTCCATCTCCAGTGGGAGCTGAGGCCTGATGGGTGTGTGTGTGCATGTGTGTGTGTGTGTCTGTGTGAGCCCGTGTGCATGTGCGTGTGTGTGTGTTCCTTCCTCTGTCATCATGTTGCTACAGCACCTCCTGTGGCCAAAAGGCAACACAGCACCCAGCTCAGGTGACATTGGTGGGTGGGCTTTAGGGCGACAAACAGTTTGCGCAACACTGCTGATGTCACACAAACACACACAAACACACACACTCACACACTCACACACACACACACAAACAGAAAAAGGCCTCTCTCTCCTCGCTGGTGTCTCCTGACTGCAGAGCCTCCAGGTCCAGTCTGTGTGTGTTTGTGTGTCTTCTGTGTTTTTTGTGAGCGTGTGTGTCTGTGTGTATTTCTGTGTCTGTGTGTGCACGTGGTGGACAGGTCGGAGTTGGTGGATGGGGATAACAGCCCCGTTCAGCCCTGTCACTCATGACTGGGCAGTTTTCTGCTCGTCTATATTTCATGTTTCATTTTGCAGTTTTCGTCCAGAAACGATTGATCGATGAATCTGAAGGATTCGTTTGTTCATTGACTGGTTGCACTCGTTTATTATATCACTGTGATTCAAAAGTCTCAGTAATTTTATTTGTCAGCTCGTATTTGATTCTCTGAAACTTCACAAACTTTCTCAACTTCAAAAAAAGACTCTGAGGCCCACAAGCAGATTTGTACATAAGTAAGTTGAAGTGAAGTCAGTGCTCTGGTGTTGAAATGTGAGCATGTGAAAGATATTTTTATATTTTTGTTTATAAAATCTGGATTATTACAAAATGTTCCGATGAAATATGAGAAGTTGAACTCAATAAGCATTCACCTCTTCCTTCTCCTTGGAAATGATTTATTCATTTTAAACATTTCCTAAAGTTCACTCGCTTGCTTTTCTTCCTTATTACTTACATAGAGATGTTTTAATTTTAGATTTAAACATTTGAAAAATTAAAACCTGACCTTTGCTTTTCCTTTTCTCTCCCTGTGACTCCTCCATGTTCCCCCTGTGCTCCTCCAGGTGGCCTCTCCAGCTCCTCAGACAGTCAGCCGGCGGTGGTCCGCTACAGCCGGGACCAGCGGCCCACCACCCTCCCCATCCAGCCCTTCACCTTCCACCACCAGTTTGCCTCTAAACCCCCCCAGCCCAAGCCCCTGCTGCCCCTGCTCACAGGTTACGTCTCTGGGATGCAGGCCCGCTCCAGTTCTGGTTCTGGTGGTCCGGTGGGTGAGGATGGTGAGGAGGCAGCTGAAAATGTGCACAGTTACCAGGGGGCTCTGGCTGGGGAAGCCCCTCCCCCTGGATCAGTTCGTCCCTCGCCGCTCGGGAGCTACTCCCCGGTTCGTCTCCAGGGGGCGCCCAGCTCTGGAACCTGCTCCACCTGCAGCCCCAGCCCTCAGCCGCCTCACAGCCCCTCCTGCCCGCTGTCGGCCGGCTTCAGCCCCCTGCACTCCCCGCCCACGGCAAAACAGGGAGGGGGTTCAACACCGTTACCGTCGACCCCTCCGCCCCCGTCGCTGGGCGTGAAGAGAGGGGCGGTGCCACCGATGCTGCCGGCGGTGCAGGGACACTGTTTCCACCGTGGAGGTCTGACGAGTTTACCGGCGCTGCACAGTGACACGCTGAGTCCGCTGGGATGTCTGGACTCTGGGAAACACGCGGAGGGAAGCAAAGGACCTGGAGCCAGGGCACAAAATGGTAGGTTCCAGAAGTTCTTAATATTATTATTCATGTCGTGTTCTCAAGAGTCGAAGCTCAAATTTAGAATGTTGACAAATATAATATCTGAGTTTGATTCAAAGACATTTAGCTTTATTTTTATTATAACTTCTTCGTGTCACCTGTTGAGGATCAGTGGTGTTGAGTTGCTCATTTTCTTTAAAATGTCCGATGTGAGAAAACATCTGGAAACGTCCCAGTGAGCGAGTGGACGTGTCGATGAGGTTTCTAACACGTGACGGACGGACGTGAAACTGGAAGAACGCAAATATCTCGGGATGAAGAAGAGGAGCCGCACAAGTAGAAGACGCCAACTTGGAAGGACGAGGAGATTCCGGAGCGTGTGGACGAGCTGTAAACAACAACACTGATGTTTCCACAGCAGAATTTAGACGTCATGTCCCGCCTCCTGCTGCTCGACAGGCTCCACCCCTCGCCTGAATGTTCCTGTTGTTGTGAACGAGTCGGACGATCTGCTGCTTCACAGAACAAAGTCAAACTCTGAAACTCTTTTTCCTCTGTCGACTCTGAGTCTGTGGTCGTCGTCCCTGTCCTCGTCTTGATCTCTTAACTCTTCGTTTCTTCCCAGTTTTGATTCTGAATTGATTTTTTTTGTCCCTGTTTTGAAAATGAAACGTTTAATTTAGATCGTTTTAGTTTTCAAAAGAAAACCGACGTCTGAGGTTTTCACTTAACGTCACAGATATAAGTTAAACGTCTCTTTTGAAGAATCTCTTATCTTTCTCTTTTTCTTTCTCTTCCCTCCCTTCATGCATGGACTTGTATCTTCTTCACCTTTTCCTCCTCTTCCTCTTCTTTTACCCCCAAACATCTCATCCATCCATCTCCTCAACAAACCACCCCCCCCCCCTCCCTGACAGCTCACCACCTCTCTCCTCAAGCCCTCAAATGGAGGGAGTACCGCCGTCGAAACCCACTGGGGGTGGAGAGGGGCTCTGGCGTGGGATCGGGCATCCTGTCCGGCAACCCTGATACCCAGAGGGGCGGGGGGGCGCGGCCTGCCAGGCGCAACGTGTTCGATTTCCCAGCGGCGCCCTCTGGCCACATGCTGGGACGGATTAATGGTGCTCATTGTCTTATTGTCAGAATTAATTAAGAGTCTAGAGGTTTATAAAAGTGCTTTTTTCTCTCCACGTCACACCTTCAGATCCTGAAAATCATTCTGATGCTTCAGGTGGATGTGTGTTTGTGTCTTATTGTGTGTTTGTGTGTGTGTGTCTCTGCAGTCGGCCAATCAGCTAAGCTGCAGCAGAGCTACAGCGACTTCCTGCCGGACTATTTCTCCATGACCGAGAAGCCACCGGAGGAGTTCTGCCTCTCCCCCGACGCCTCCTCTTCGTCGTCCTCCTGCTCTTCCTCACAGTCCCACATCTCTGTGGACCTGACACAGAAGAGAGGTGAGGCCCTGCCGCTCGTGGGAGTTATGAATACTGTAGTTATATATTTATAAAAGACAGTTCGTTCACTCAGTGAGTCTGTATTTGTGGAGCGTCTCTCTTCGACAACTGGAACTTTTCCACATGAACTTTTAGAAGCGTGGGAATTTGATCACTTCAACAAAAAATAATTTAAAGTACAGAAACATGTGTTCCTACACAACTTCTCCCTGATTGGTCAAACTCAAGCCTTCAGTTGATTTAGATGGTCAAGTATAAATAAATACAGAAATGTCTTGATTTGTCTGTTTTCTGATGATATCAGCTGATATGAGCCTAAAGCAGATTTCTCTGTATCTGTGTTCATGTTTGACGAAATGAAAACTTTCAGACGCAGAAAAGATTCATATTCCAACTGATTTATATTTAATGTTTCTATAAAAGAAAGTTCTGCTTATTTTTTCATTCAAGTTCCGTATGTTTGGTTTTATTTGTGTTTTCTTTTTATTCGTAGTTATTTATAAAAAAGGGTTTATGGTTAAACTGTAAAATATCCAGACTCGTTTTCATTGAAACATTTCCTTTCATAGGAATTAATTAGAAACGTGTTTTTCTTTAATAAGAAGCAGTTTGGCCGCCGTAGATATTTTATGATTATATAGTTCATTTTATTTTTATCTTTATTGTATTTTGTCAAAATATCGAAAGGAAATTTGTAAACATTTTGTACATTCACATTTATAGAATTAATGTAATTAGTTTTCCTCTCTCTCTCTCTGTCGTCTCGTCAGGTTTGGTGAAAGCCGTGAACACAGCAGTGGATCTGATTGTGGCTCATTTTGGAACCAGTCGAGATCCGGACGTGAAGGTGAATGCTCATCAATGGTTGATGTACTTTTACTTTAATGTACTTTAAAACAAATAGAATCAGAGTGATTCAGTTAACACAACGGAAACCTTCCAGCAGGTGAAGTGCAGAAATCTCACAGACAGATGGCGCCAGAACTCCTACCTGAGTTTCTATTGTAGTCGGGGATTGTGCGAATTTTATTCTCAGGTTATATTTTCAAAATTAGTT